AAAAGGTTTCTCACCAGTGTGTGTTCTCGCGTGAATTTTTAAGCTTTCCTTCTTAGAGAATCTTTGGCCACAAACTAAGCAGGCAAAAGGTTTCTCACCAGTGTGGGTTCTTTTGTGAGCATGTAAATGTTGTTTGCGAGAGAATGTTTGGCCACAAACTAAGCAGAAAAAAGGTTTCTCACCAGTGTGTATTCTTCCATGCTTTTTTAAGTTTCCCTTATCAGAGAATTTTTGGCCACAAACTAAGCAGGAAAAAGGCTTCTCACCAGTGTGGGTTCTCACGTGTATTTTGAAGCTTCCCTTCTCAGAGGATTTTTGGCCACAAACTAAGCAGGCAAAAGGTTTCTCACCAGTGTGTGTTCTGGTGTGTCTTTTTAAGTTTCCCTTCTGAGAGAATCTTTGGCCACAAACTAAGCAGGAAAAAGGCTTCTCACCAGTGTGGGTTCTCACGTGTATTTTGAAGCTTCCCTTCTCAGAGGATTTTTGGCCACAAACTAAGCAGGCAAAAGGTTTCTCACCAGTGTGGGTTCTTTTGTGATCATGTAAACTTTCTTTCTGAGAGAATCTTTGGCCACAAACTAAGCAGGCAAAAGGTTTCTCACCAGTGTGGGTTCTTTTGTGATCATGTAAACTTTCTTTCTGAGAGAATCTTTGGCCACAAACTAAGCAGGCAAAAGGTTTCTCACCAGTGTGGGTTCTTACATGCTTTTTTAAGTTTCCCTTCCGAGAGAATTTCCTGCCGCAGTCGGAACAGGTGAACGGTTTCTCACCATTATCATCAGCGGTTGACGATGTGTTGTCTCTATCTGAGAGTGGAGCTAAGAGGCTATCTGCTTTTGGTTTTCCACAGTGGTTTCCAATACCTTGTGTTGTCATGTGTTGACATGAGCTGCTGCTTGGAGGCTCCGCCCCTCTGTCCACCTTATTTATACTCTTCAGAAGCACACCAGTCAATGGCAACTTGCAGATCCCCTTCTCCTCCTCCACTTCTTTGACGTCAGGGGGCTCATCCACCTCTACTTTCATGCAAGGGTGCTCTAGCTCCTCCTCTTTCTTAATGTAAGGGGCCTGCTGCTCTTCTTCCTCTTTCAAGGGGGGTACCTCATTGTTCTCTTTCTCTTTAATGTGAGACGTCTCCGCATCCAACCGCTCAGGATAAGCATCTTCGCTAATGTCTGAAAGAGACGAGAAGGCAAAGACACTTGGAATTATGGTTTATAATTACAATGAAGGTTTCGAGGAGAGCGAGATGAGTTCAGATTACTACTTGTTAAGTGACATTCGGAGAATCACTTATTGGTGGTGGATTTTCATTTGTTTCCCCGATGGCGACTTTTTTTTCTTAAATTAATTATTTTTATACCCATGGTTACTTTCGGAAAGACTCGTGCAGAGTCTGACATTGCACATTTTGAGTGGTGGATAAGTTAAAAGTGGTCCTGACCTCGAATATTCATGATACAGACACTAAGTTTCCGTACTTAGTTCATATTTAGTGACTTCATGCTGTAATTTTAAGACCCTTTAAGAAATGATTAATGATTAACAACTGTATTCTTGGGTTTGATCGTGCGCTACCCACTAAAATCACAGCTTCAAAAATGAATACAAAGGCTTCAAAGAATGGTTCTATTCCACAATTTTCAAGTCTGCGAGAAAAAATGTACGAATACATTTGTTACAACACAAAGTAGTGTTCACAGAGCTGGCAATTTTAAATGTATCTGAAAATTTCAGAATGTATAAGGCTCCAAAGTCATGAAAATTCGAGCCTCGCTTCCAGCTGCAGAACGGTGTGAGTGTGTCCAATGAGACTGAGATTTACCGGTCAAAGAAATATGTTTGTTCGTACATGATTGGCTAAAAAACGGGTGCCGGACAGCTCATGTGTTTAATAAACAGTTGACTTCCGCTCAAGTGTACGTTGTTTGGATAGACGCGATGCGCACAACTCTGAACTAATACATGGACGTCAAAAGTCTTGTAAGGCTTTTATTTTGAAACTGGCCCTTGCAGCGTTTGAAAATTCGTGGCAGCTGGCTTGATCACTCTCGGCGGAAAATACAGCTTTCTGTTGTGTCAAAGGTTTAATGCTGACAGCAAGAAAATATAGTTCGTTGACTCAAGAGTAAGAATTGAAAGTGACTAAACCTGGTCGCCGTGAGCCAAATCGAGACTTCTTGAAAACAGCGTCGCTGTCCTCTTTTGTCCCATAAAGTTGCTCCTCGTACTCTGCTATTCCTCTTGCGCACATTTTTCGAAAATATCACAACAGTTTACGTTCAGACTTGAGCTCTGTTTCTCGACAAAGCGGCTAGCATGCTAGGCTAACTAAGCTAAGCTAGGCCCAGAAGCTTGAGATAATGTTTTGGTCCAATGAAGTAATGACGGGCATCCTGCTTCGAGGCTAAAGTGATATAATTCTAGAAGAACATTTTGGTTCGTGTTCTTTATGATTTTTTTCACAAATTTATCCGTGTTGTAGTTTCGCGTACGGAGTACAGTTGCAGCATTCAAAGATTGTACGGCAACTCCCTTAGGACAAAATTCATGGCAACACGAGCATCAACTCGTCAAGAGAACATTACAAAACGTAACTTTCGAGAACAAAAAGTTCGGTTAATTTTCTTTATGATTTTTTTTCTTATTTTTAAAATCAAAGCCGGATCGTTGTTTGGCGTGCAGCGGTCCGGCAGCAGTTCTCAAACAACTACGTATGGCAACTCCGGTCAGACAAACTTCATGGGAAGTACGAGAAATCAACCTCGTCAAGAGAATTTTACAAGACCTCACAAAACAAAAGTATAACGCCTTGGAGTATTGAATCGTTAGCTCACTTTTAAAGAGGCTACATTTTCATTCAAGTGATTTTAACTGTTTGTATATTAGTTGATTAAAGAACTTCTCATGTTCTCATCTAAAGTGAGGTAACTTGGTGTGTGCCTGCATTTTTTGAACAGTTTCAAAGGGAAAACGTTTTTAATGTTGTTTGGCAATTCCTGATTTGGCGTACTGTAAGACAGAAACGGAAATTATATCTCTGATAATATATTTCTAATAGTCCATATCTTGTTCATTTTTTGACACGGAAATGTAGTGTAAAAAAATCATAACTCATAAATTGTTCAAGAGCTCTGAGATTAAGTTGAGTTTCAAACTTTGATGTCCATATTTTTGTGTTCATTTCTGGAGTAACAGCACTAACATGCCACTTCAGAAGCTCTAGTTTGCTTCCTTTTATTTGTGTTCGTCTTCCCGTTCTTCTTCACACATGACAATGAAACGCAATTCAATGAACGTAAAGTGTCCGCACGTACATGGGAAAATATTACGACAGTGAGATAACATTCGTGACATTTCCGTAAACTGTACTTTATGGCATCCGAAACAAGATAAACACAAACATACTGACGTTTGAGCATAACATTAGACCCAACTCCTTACATGATATTATGAGAGCACATGATTTAACACCCTGCCTTGCTCTCATCATCTGAAAAATAATTGGCCAGAACACAGCTTTTGAATTTGGCAATCGTAATCCTATCTGATGGTTTTGTCAATAACTCTGCAACCATGTTTTCCGATTCACAACATGCAATATCTGTCTTTCCATTTTGAAGTGCTTCCTGAATGAAGTAAAATCTAACGTCAATTGCATTTAGATTTCTGTCTGGGTTTTTGCTCAACTTGATTGTCCGTATCTTGTATTATCCGTGCCATTTAACAATTCGGTTCAATACAGTACATCATTGGCCCCTGTGTAGTGGTGGTGAAAACACTGTGTTCAGCTTCACAAGTCGAAAGAGCCACTCATGGCTGGTGCGACGATTGTTTTCAATTGGTTGCCACGACGAATAAAAATCTGGAATACTTGATTTTAGGAATGTGTATTTGTTCCTATATTAAACCTTGTGTGTCTACGTGGGGGTTATTTCTGACGAGTGACGTCACACTGAAATCGCTCTTTAAATGTCGGGTCAATTTTTTTTCCCCCTGAGACTTCGTCACTCGGACATCCCAGTTAAAAGTAGCCCTCCAGTGCACCTTGAAAACTGTTATTCTAAAATTCTATTTTGACCCATATCTTGCGTTTTGGGGTTCACATTTTGATATCTTACTCCAGGGAAGTGTCATGGTCCTGTTCTGTTTGTCTCCAGTAGGTGGTATCGGAGGGCTGTTCCTCCCGCTCCACACCTGTTACGCAATGTCATTATAATCGCCCGGGTTCAAATGGACAGCCAAGCTATTGTCAGGTTATTTACCTTGCTCACGACCACTGTTCCCTCTAAGCATGGTTTGTGAACAAATGCGCACTGCCCCCTGCATGTCTGCGCACAAACTATCTGAGCTGCGCACAAGATAAAAATCCAACCAGTATTGAAAATAAAATAAATGCCTAATTTATTCTGTATTATGCAACATGTGATTGGCTGTTTCAGGTTGTTATATGACGCGATTCGCTCACGCATTTACGTCATGATGTTGTTCACTGTAGAAAGGTCTACTCTGCAAAACGTGTTGCGAAGCTAAAGTAGCAAGCGAAAAAAGTGTGGAGCGAATGGAAACTGGACTACCTCAAGCGTCACATTCAGCACAAAAGTCATTTGAATGCAGTAAAAATTGTACAACGATGCAAGATGGGAATGGGGATCGGTAC